TTTTTTTCTCTTCAATATTTTGCCCTAGGGCTTTTATATATATATATATATATATATCTAATCAATCAATGCTAACCTAAAAATAATAATTCTGTGAAAGAGAAAGGTTAACCGGCTTAATGTTTATTGAAAGCTTAATATTTATTGAAAATAATAAAATAAAGTAGTATTATAAAATAATTTCATTTTATTTTAAATTAAAAAAAATGGTTTTGGACTAAATTATATTAACTTCTTATGATAAATATATTTTTAAAAATGGCAATATTTAAAAAGAAAAAATATATATATGAAAATGCATATAAGTATAAGTTATAAGAATCATGAAATTTATTTTGAGATTAGTATTTTATATAAAAATGTTATTCCTAATCTTAAGAAAATTAAATTTATCTTAAAACAAAAAAAATATATATAATAAAATATTCTGAAATAATTTTTTAAATCAAGTTAAATTTTGAAATTATATGAAATTATATTTAAATTTCTTATTTTGTATAAATAAAAGGGGCAGTTAAGTACATGCCATCTAATTTTTATGCATTTATAGTCTTAACTCCTAAATTTAACTTTTTTACATATATACCCCCCATATTTTCACATCATATAAAAATATTACTATTTTACCATTTTCAAAACTTTAATACAATTAAACATTTGATGATTTAACCCACCCTAAAAGATAATGTTGGCTCCTCCCGAATAAGATGACATATATGTATGCGTTAATAAGATGGGTAAATTTTAAAATTTAGATATTTGATATGTAAATATATAAGAATTAAGTGGTATTTATGTAAATATTCCAAAATACAATGAAATGAAATATTAAAAGGAAGCAAGACAAGACAACTCAAATCCTAATTTCTTGAGCTAACATTTTAACGGTTAAATTTTTTTAAAAAAAGAAAAAAACTCCACACAAGCTATGTTGGTTATATCCACGATTTTACCGTTATTACTGCGAACCCTTATATAATATGTATGCGTAAATAAGATGGGTATATAGATAAATTTAAAATTTTAGATATTTGATATGTAAATATATAAGAATTAAGTGGTATTTATGAAAATCTTCCAAAATACAATGAAAATGAAAATTTAAAAGGAAGCAAGACAAAATGTAAGACAACTCAAACCCTAATTTCTTGAGCACAGCTTTTTAACATTTTAATGACTATTCCTGAAATTAAAAAAAAAAAGAAAAAACTACACACTAGCTGTGTTGGTTATATCCACGATTTTACCGTTATTACTGCAAACCCCACAATTCTAATGTACTCATACATTAAATATGCGTAAATAAGATGGAGTATATAGGTAAATTTTAAATTTTAGATATTAGACATTTAAATATTTAAGAATTAAGTGGTATTTATGTAAATCTTCCAAAATACAATCAAAATGAAATTTTAAAAGGTAGCAAGACAAAATGTAAGACAACTTAAACCCTAATTTCTTGAGCACAGCTTTTTACCATTTTAAGGACTATTCCTGAAATTAAAAAAATAAGAAAAAACTCAACAGTAGCTGTGCTGGTTATATCCATGATTTTACTGTTATTACCGCAAACCCCACAATTCTAATGTACTCATACATTAAATATGCGTAAATAAGATGGAGTATATAGGTAAATTTTAAATTTTAGATATTAGACATTTAAATATTTAAGAATTAAGTGGTATTTATGTAAATCTTCCAAAATACAATCAAAATGAAATTTTAAAAGGTAGCAAGATAAATTGTAAGACATGTAAGACAACTTAAACCCTAATTTCTTGAGCACAGCTTTTTACCATTTTAAGGACTATTCCTGAAATTAAAAAAATAAGAAAAAACTCAACAGTAGCTGTGCTGGTTATATCCATGATTTTACTGTTATTACCGCAAACCCCACAATTCTAATGTACTCATACATTAAATATGCGTAAATAAGATGGAGTATATAGGTAAATTTTAAATTTTAGATATTAGACATGTAAATATTTAAGAATTAAGTTGTATTTATGTAAATCTTCCAAAATACAATCAAAATGAAATTTTAAAAGGTAGCAAGACAAAATGTAAGACAACTTAAACCCTAATTTCTTGAGCACAGCTTTTTACCATTTTAAGGACTATTCCTGAAATTAAAAAAATAAGAAAAAACTCAACAGTAGCTGTGCTGGTTATATCCACGATTTTACTGTTATTACCGCAAACCCCACAATTCTAATGTATTTATACATTAAATATGCGTAAATAAGATGGAGTATATAGGTAAATTTTAAATTTTAGATATTAGACATGTAAATATTTAAGATTTAAGTGGTATTTATTTAAATCTTCCAAAATACAATCAAAATGAAATTTTAAAAGGTAGCAAGACAAAATGTAAGACAGCTTAAACCCTAATTTCTTGAGCATAACTTTTTACCATTTTAATGGCTATTCTTGAAATTAAAAAAAATAAGAAAAAACTCAACAGTAGCTGTGCTGGTTATAACCACGATTTTACTGTTATTACCGCAAACCCCACAATTCTAATGTATTTATACATTAAATATGCGTAAATAAGATGGAGTATATAGGTAAATTTTAAATTTTAGATATTAGACATGTAAAATATTTAAGAATTCAGTGGTATTTATGTAAATCTTCCAAAATACAATCAAAATGAAATTTTAAAAGGTAGCAAGATAAATTGTAAGACAGCTTAAACCCTAATTTCTTGAGCACAGCTTTTTAACATTTTAATGGCTATTCCTGAAATTAAAAAAAAAATAAGAAAAATTCTTTACCGTTATCATAACAAACCCCACGATTCTAATGAATTTATATATTAAATATTTCCATTTTTTATTTATATGTATAACATCAAAATTTATAATGCCGCGTTTAAATATAACTAGTATTAAATTTGTAAAAAGAAAATGATAAATTGGTAAAAAAAATCATAAATTTGGATTAGAACATTATAAATATAAACGCCAAATTTAATAATTTAAATGTTAGATATATAAATACATAAAAATTAGGTAAATTATCCGATTAATTTTCTGGTATTTAGTCAGAGACGGTTTCCTTTTTAACCGTGGAATGAGCTACGGGATTTACAACTGCCGCATTATCCCTGTAGTGCTCGCTGCTCAGTGGTAAACGAGAAGAAAAATCAATCAGTCCAGAGAACAGAGTGTGCTCCGACAAGGAGAGGGAAGGTAACAAAACCAATTTGGTATTGTTTTTCACTTTTCCTCCTTTGCTTTTCTCTTCACACGTTGCAAGAGCCCACATCTCTCTCTTTCCGCTCTCTCTCTCTCTCTCTCTCTCTCTGTGAGAGGGGAGTTTGCTGTGAGGAAGGAGGTTGGTAGAGTTTTGAGGATTTTCTCGGTTTCCGACTTCCTACACCCTTGTCGTTTTCCTGCGTGATTCCAATCTTTGTTCGATTCTGCACTGTGTCCTCGCCTTTCTAATCGCTACCTGTCGTCGTCTTTCTTCTTTCTCTCTATCTGTGTGTGTGGGTGCTGTTTCTGCTTATCTGAAAATTAAGCGGGGCAATGCCCGTAGCTGAAAACTAGGAACCGGCACGTATTACCTGAAATCTTTTGCTCAATTTGGATATCTTCATTCTGAGTCCTATCCCTCGACTGGCAAATGGGTTTGCTCTTTCTCGGCCCTTCTTTTCTCGGTTCTTTAGAAGCCCTACCTTCGCTGGAGAAGCTCTCCTTCGCCGCCCATCTCTTGCTTCTCCTCTTTCTCTTACTGACCCCCGCTTCCCGCGTTTTCAACCGTGTGCTTTCCAGAGTGAAAGCTCGCGCTGACTCCGGCGGGGGCGTTGGAGATCCGGTAACTTTTGTCGTCGGATGTTGGTTCAAGGTCTCCATTTTCTGCTCAGTCTACATTGTCTTCCTTCAACTGGCAGTTCTCGGGTATGAAACAGTAATTTTGTTTCGCGACGGGGTTAAAGATTACTCCGTATTTTACTTACCCTGCCTTGAGACAATCGCTTGGCTTGCGATAACATTCCGGGCATTGCAGAGCTGGTTTAATGCTGCGGCAAAATTTCCCTTGCCGGTTAGGTTTTCATGGCCTGTGTCATTCTGCCTCTGTCTATATATTGGATTTGTTGATACCAGAGGCTTTTTGGATAAGTTTACTCACTTGAATTCTCATGTCGTGGCAAATTATGCCGCCGCTCCTGCTCTCGCCTTCCTTTCCATTGCCTCCATCCGTGGAATTTCAGGTATAGATGTATATAGGGTGAATTCCGATCTTCATGATCCTCTTCTTACCGAAGAGGATGAAGCTGGTTGCCCCAATGTCACTCCTTACAGTGGAGCAGGGATTTTCAGCCTCGCAACACTGTCTTGGCTCAGTCCTCTGCTTTCCATAGGCGCAAAGAGGCCCCTTGAACTCAGGGATGTACCATTGTTGGCACATAAAGACAGGTCCAAAACTTCATATAAGGCCTTGAATTCAAATTGTGCCGAGAACCCTGGGAAAACGTACTCCTTGGCGTTAGCGATTTTCCTTTCGTTTTGGAAAGAAGCAATGGTGAATGCCGTCTTTGCTGGATTATACACATTGGTATCTTTTGTCGGACCATATCTGATAAGCTATTTCGTTGATTACTTGAGTGGAAATGTAGCTTTTCTTCATGAAGGATATGTGTTAACATCCGTCTTCTTTGTTGCAAAGTTGGTAGAGACAGTGACGACAAGGCAATGGTATTTAGGATTAGATGTCTTAGGCATGCATGTTAAATCTGCTTTGACGGCCCTGGTTTACAAAAAAGGACTAAGACTGTCGTGCAGAGCACGGCAGAGACACACCATCGGCGATATTGTTAACTATATAGCAGTGGATGTGGAGAAAGTTAGTGATTGCTCATGGAATATTCATGACATATGGCTGCTTCCATTACAAATCACGCTTGCTCTGGCAATTTTATACAAACATGTCGGAATTGCTTCCGTCGCAACACTCGGGGCAACCATTATCTGCATTGCTATCGCCTATCCTTTCTCAGAATTACAAAAGCGTTATCAAGTTAACCTTATGGCCGCCAAAGATGATCGAATGAGGACAACATCCGAATGTCTGAGAAACATGAGGATCCTGAAGTTTCAAGCTTGGGAGGTTCGCTATAGATTAAAACTGGAAGAGATGAGGAATGCGGAGTATAGTTGGATCCGGAAAACCGTATATTCTCAAGCATTAGTCACCTTCATTTACTGGGGATCCCCCATTTTCATCTCTGTGGCGACATTTGCTACCTGCATATTGCTAGGTGGTCAGCTAACCGCCGGCAGCGTGCTGTCTGTCCTAGCCACCATTCGGATTCTCCAGGATCCTCTTAAAAATTTTCCTGATTTGGTTCTTATGATTTCCCAGACAAAAGTTGCGGTGGAACGGATCACAGATTTTCTGCAACAGGAAGAGTTGCAGGTCGATGCCACTGTTATTATTCCCAGCGGACTTGCGAGCACGGCGGCTATCGAGATTAAGGATGGTGAGTTTTGTTGGGATCCGGAATCCTCTAAACCCACTCTTTCGTCAATACAATTGAAAGTAGAGAAAGGGAAGCGTGTGGCGGTCTGTGGTGCCGTCGGTTCTGGGAAGTCAAGCTTCCTCTCCTGTATCCTCGGTGAAATACCCAAAATTTCCGGCGAAGTAAGTGATTTCCTTATGCTTTTTGGCTCAAGATCTTGTACATGGAGGTTAAAAATTTGATTTTTTTTTTTTCTGTTGATTTATCTTTTTCAGGTTAGGATTAGTGGTTCTGCAGCGTATGTTTCTCAGTCAGCTTGGATCCAGTCAGGAAATATTGAGGAAAACATCCTGTTTGGGAGCCCAATGGATGAGCAGAGGTACAAGAATGTTATTAATGCTTGTTCCCTTAAAAGGGATCTGGAGCTATTTTCCCATGGAGATCAAACAATAATTGGTGATAGAGGTATAAATCTAAGTGGTGGACAGAAACAAAGGGTTCAACTTGCTCGAGCGCTTTATCAGGATGCTGATATTTATTTGCTTGATGATCCTTTTAGTGCAGTTGATGCCCATACAGGGAGTGATTTGTTCAAGGTTTGCAGATTGTTTCTCCACTTCTGCTCTTACCAATCCTTTTTATATCTAGAAATTATTTGATACTGAATGGTGTATTACTATGGTTTGCAGGAATATATTTTGACTGCTCTGGCCAGCAAGACAGTGGTATTTGTCACCCATCAAGTTGAATTTCTTCCAGCCGCGGATTTGATACTGGTGTGCAAGTTTTTACAGTTTTATATATGGCCTTTTTTTAATTTCAGTTTGTATACTTTAAGGCTTTTATGGAATGTCAAGCATGTGTCTGTTTTGCTTCAAATTAGGTATTTGCATGTCCATTTATAGTTATTTCTCTACCATATTTCACTGATTATTATTATAAATTTGCAATAGTCTTACTGCTTCCAACTTGTCTAACGCTAGCTGTAAGCCTCCTCATTTTTCTATTGCTTGTGACTCTTTATCATTTTGTAAGTTATAAGTTAAAATATAATTTTTTTAAAATCTTGTTTTATTAATATTTGGGAAAGATGTGGATCTTAAAAAGCATGTGTAAACCACTTTTTAGTCCCTATAGCATCCGTCTAGTTCTAACTCGATCCCACTGATTTCAATTGTAGCGGTCAAATCCCTACACTTTAAAGTCATTACAATCATGTCCAAAGCTCGAATGATATAATGGAAGAAGTTATATTTCGTCCAAATTAAATGACCAAATGTTGTTTGTCATTTTAAGCTGAATACTTAAACCGGCAGAAAATCACACTTGGCTTGTTAGCATCTAGTCCTTTCGTTTGGAAGTAATTGGTCTCATCCATTATGTCATTTGAGTTTTGGATGATATTATAGCTATTTTAAATTACAGGGACTTGATTGCAACTACTGAAAATGTAGGGATCAAAGCCGAACAACTACTTAAAATGTAGGGATCAAAGTTGAACCAGAGCCAAACTATAGGGAAAAGTGGCTACCCAAAAATGCTTCCTAGGAACTGCTTTCTGTTTATGAAGCACATGAAAGTACTTAGCGATCGTCTGAGATCACTTTTGATTATTATTTTATTATTTTATTTATTTTATTTTGTTTATGTTTTGATGTGAAATAAAACTTATTTGGCAATTTGATTAAACTATGGTTGTTTTTAAAAACACTCCAAACATATTAAAGTTTTTAGAATGTTTTCAAAATACGTTAGTTTGTTTTTAAAAACATGTAAAAAATACACTAAACAAATATATTTTACTTCCAACTAAGCTTCTGTCATTTCCATTGACCTTGTATAACCATTTTATGCAGGTGCTTAAAGAGGGTCACATAATACAGGCTGGAAAATACGATGATATTTTAAAATCTGGAACTGACTTCAATGCTTTGGTTTCAGCCCATCAGGAAGCCATTGAAGCAATGGACATTCCGGAATGCATGTTGGAGGATGTATCAATGCTTCGCCAAAGATCGGGATCAATTGTAAGCAAGGCTGATAGCTTGGGAAGCAAAACACCCGAAAACAAGCCTCCATCCGAGCGAATTGGTGTAAAGGAAATGAAGAAATCGAAGTGCAGCGGGAAAAAACAACTCGTTCAAGAAGAGGAGCGAGCAAGGGGGAGAGTTGGCTTAACAGTTTACCTGTCATATATGGCTGCTGCATATAAAGGAGCATTAATACCTTTAATTATTCTATCCCAGACAACATTTCAGGTTCTGCAGATAGCTAGTAACTGGTGGATGGCTTCGGCAAACCCCCAAACACATGGTGATAAGCCAAAGACGACGAGCACTTATCTTCTTGACGTATATATGGCACTTGCTTTTGGCAGCTCCTTGTTTGTCTTTTTAAAGGCTGTTCTCGTGGCGACTTTTGGCTTAGAGGCATCGCAAAAGTTATTTTTGAAGATGCTAAAAACTATATTCCGGGCTCCAATGTCATTCTTCGATTCCACCCCCATGGGGAGAATCTTGAATCGTGTAAGTAGTCAACAGTTTTCGTATGTATGACCTTGGTTACTTTTTTTTTAGATAAGTGTCACAATGTTTCCCCGACTATTTGTCGTTGGTCATTTTAGTCACAAAGTTTATAAAAGTGTCAATTTAGTCCCTTGTCCCTTTTAAAGGGGCCTATAACAGTTCTTTATGGACTATTTCAGCCCATATTGAAAGAGTCGAAGGACGAGTTTAGCATTTTTATATACTCTTAACACTAAAAGGGCCTCATGTAAATAGTCAAGGGATTATTTTGGCTCTTAACTCCTTTTTTTTTCGTGTTTTTTTGGGAGAAACACTCCTCTTTCCTTTTCTGAATTGCTCATCTAACTTTATGAATTTTCAGGTTTCGGTAGATCAAAGTGTCGTTGATCTTGATATTCCAAACAGACTTGGCTCGTTTGCCACAACCTTAATTCAACTTCTCGGTATAATTGGTGTGATGTCTAAGGTTACATGGCAAGTTCTGCTCCTGCTTTTTCCAATGACCATTGTTTGCTTATGGATGCAGGTAATTTACTGTAATTTATCTTCGCTTCAATATCACTTCGTTGTAAATCATCTTCCATGAAGCTGAAAGAATGATGGTGGTGAATTTTTAATTATTAACCTATTGCTTTATCAGCATCTTGGAGCCTTTTTCTTTTGATTTGATTTCTTAAATAAAAATCTTTTCTATTATTATATGACAAGAAAAATACAAATTTTGTTTTATGGCTTCAAAAAGTCTGGTTCTATCACCCAAAGTTAAATTATTGATGCGCATGGAAACTAGGTGAGTAAAGAAATCATTCAAAAGATTTGCTTAATAATGTGTTCTCTAATCATTTAATTGGCAGAGAAATAACTTTATTTGAAGCCCAAGAGAAGGTCTTTCTTCCCGTCCTATGAAATAATGTATATAGTTCATTGAAATTTCATATAATGTGCTAATAAATAATGGAAGCAAATAAACCAATCATATACATTTTTGCTCCTTTTTGGTTGCTCTTCTTTACCAGCCAGGAAGAAATTATCTTGGTCCTCTTATTGATTGATAATGGATGGCATTTATATTTTCATTATGTTCGACTCGTCAACCTTTGTTTTTTTCCTGGGTAGACATAATTGAAAATTTATTCATTAGAACCAGAGCAATATGATCTTTTATACTTTGTCGTTTTAAATTAGTTAGCAAGAATAATTTTAAGGTTCTTGGATATATTTTGAGTAGCCATCCTGGTTGAAGGCTTTATATAACACCTTTTCAATAATTATGTTTTGTCCTGTTTCACTGAAAAGTATCTCACTCAATGCCAATTCCACCTTTCTATTATTATGGAGATTCATGTGGTGTGAGATGCTATAGGATACATAGCGAAATGTGTGCAATTTGTGCTCCTGTTTTTCATGTGCCTACTTCATATTTACATCTAACGTCACACAAAAATACCGCCATCAATGCATTTTTAAATGTGAAATACATCTTTTCATGCATAGGTTTATAAGACCAATGTGTTATAAGTGCAAAATCTCAAACTTGGGTGTTAGATTGGTAAACACATAAGAATTGTGTGGTGTGCATGTAAATTTCCCTTTTAATTTTTGAACATAAAAATGCATCCTCACTTGAAAAGTGATTCTTACTTATGGCATATATGCAATATTCTGCTGCAACCTGATTTGGAGCATCTATCTAGGCTTATGGAGCAATGATTCGGATTGCTGAACTAGGATTTCTGGTGCAGGGAGTGGATTAAATAATATCAAAAAGTTTTTTTTATTTTTTTATTTTTTAACTGCAGAGATTCATAAAGCTTGACATGAGATATTTGGGTGAAACCCCTCACAGCCTTTGCCATTGTATCTGTTACTAATCTTAGCCATGACAGCTACTATGAATTATAATTGTTTGTAATTTTTTGTTCTTTGTTTTCTTCTGTATGAATGGTCTTATATAAATCAAGAGATTCTTTGTAAATCTAAGTACAGATTGAGATCAGAATAGTATGTGCCAGAAGTATATGCTGAAGTTACTAAGATATAACTTTGGTATCTAGTCATGTTGGAGTATAACAGACAAAATTCAAACTCAATATTGTCGGAGGTTTAGGATTTTTTCTTTTGATACTTCTATTTTTATTATTTTCTATTATTAGTCGTTTCTACTTTTAGAATTATCTATTGTTGGTAATTTCTATTTCCTTTTTTACAGCATGGGTATTTTGTGGTTTTCCTAATGTGGTGGCTTTTTTCTTCTATTTATTTTGTAACTAAGTCTTAGAAAATTAAAGAGGAATAATTATTTTTTCTCTCTCAAAACCAACGTTTACAAAAATCCCTTGTGAGAAGCCTTAGCATCGCTTCTGCCCCATTCCAGTTCCATCTATTACCATCATCTTCGTGACCCACCCTTTGTGATATTGTCATGATTAGAGGTTGCTAGGAAGGCAACGACTGGATCGCACAGTTCAGAGACCTGACTATTGCATACAACATCTCACAGAAACGACTGAAGAATGTAGATTGATAAACCGGCCTAAGATTATTCGGATAACGGTAATGGTATTGCTGATGATTGAAACTAGAATGAATACACTGAAAGAAATGCAGAGTTCATATAAGTATCCATTATCGCCTTCATTTCACAGCACAAGTCATTTGAAATATTATAAGTGGTTATCTTGGAATTACATTAGTTACATTTTCAGGCATTCTAAGCATTTGAATTTGGGTTGGGGCATATACATACATACCACTCAATTCTCAAGTATTTTACATATCTATCTCCTAAACTTTACATTTTACATTTATACCACCCAGATATTTCATTTCTCATAAAAATATCACCATTTTAACTTAAAAAAAAGGGAAAATACACCATTTAATCCTTAGCTAAGGTGGCGTGCATGTAAAAATTAAAATTGTGTTAGATATGTAAATACATAGAAATTGAGTGGTATATATGTAAATCTTCCTTCAATTTTTTTGTTTGTGAATAATAATAGCATGTTCATGAAGCAGTTCTTATTGTCATTAATAAAGATCGAACCGTAACCATTTATTGTATTGTTTTAACATGAAATTTTACTTTCAACAGAAGTATTATATGGCTTCATCAAGTGAGCTAGTGCGAATGGTCAGCATCCAGAAGTCTCCAATTATTAATCTTTTTGGGGAATCTATTGCTGGCGCTTCTACCATTAGAGGATTTGGACAGGAAAAGAGGTTTATCAAAAGGAATCTGTACCTTCTTGACTGCTATTCACGCCCATTCTTCTACAGTAAAGCTGCCATTCAATGGTTATGCTTGCGCATGGAATTGCTATCCACTTTTGTATTTGCTTTCTGCATGACACTTCTTGTTAGTTTACCACATGGAAGTATTGATCCGAGTACGTATCCTTCAAATTATAGAAACTTATTGCAAATTTCTTTCCAGAATTCACAATCAAATTTACAAAAAACTTATTTAAAATTTAATTTTATGCCAGCCCCCTTAGCCCGTTGGTTGAGAGTTTAGACTTTCAACTAAGAGCTCCTTGTATCAAGGCTTTGCATATGCAGTGTGGGAGTGCTTGCAATTAAATACGCTCAAATTCCCTCCCCCCACCCCTCCAAAAAAAAGGATTAATTTTTAGAATTTATAATTCAACATTTCCATTATTTGATACATATTTTTAAGGTGGAACAATTTCAGTTTATATGTGATATTATTTTGTAATATGAACCCTTGTTGATGACGCATGGTTTTTCATATCTTAGGTATGGCAGGCCTTGCTGTAACTTATGGTATTAATTTAAATGCTCGCTTCTCCCGGTGGATATTGAGCTTTTGTAAACTTGAAAATAAGATTGTTTCTATTGAGCGCATACAGCAGTTTTGTGACATTCCTAGTGAAGCGCCGGCTATTATTGATGATTCTAGACCTCCGCCTTGGTGGCCTGGGAATGGGAAGATTGAACTGCTTGATCTCCAGGTATATAACTGCATTTTCTCTTTGCCATTGCTTGTCACAATTGCTGTTTAATCTTTAATTTTAATTGATTTTTTATATTATTTTAATCGCTACTACTTTTCATACTACTGTCACATTATTAGTTTGGTTTCTACTGCTTATAGAAATTTTTTTAGTGGGAAGCTGTTTATGAGAATTTGATATGTTAAAATACGGTGGTGATTAAGACGCTGTTTTCTGACTTTTTTGAAAAGGAAAATTTTTAACAGATCCGCTTAAAAAATAAAATTGATTTCCATAAAACAACTTCATAATAACCTTTATAAAATGCACCAGCTGACCCAAGCGAACTCTAAGTAGAAAAAAAAATCATCTTTGTCTTTAAAAGTGCCATCTGATAAATACCTGAACACAGTTGTTATTTACTTCTTCTTTGTTTGAAATTAGGTTTCTTGAACTTGTCAACTTCGACGTTAGTCATTACGAAAACACGCGACCTTCACCGGGATCTTTTAATTGTGTAACTTTATAATTGATGGCAAATACAGTGTGTCAAATAGATAAAACTAGCACTGCTTCTCTGTATCTTGGAATCAACCTTTTCACTATGCCTGATTTGTAGTTAATGAAGTGTAGCTAACTTTATTCATATTTACTCATGGAAGGCTCGCTACAAGGAGAACTTGCCCATCGTTCTCCGTGGTGTAACATGCACGTTCCCCGGTGGTAAAAAAATAGGCATCGTTGGGCGCACGGGAAGCGGCAAATCTACACTTATACAGGCTCTTTTCCGCTTGATTGAACCAACACATGGGAAGATTATCATTGATGACATCGACATCTCTACCATCGGCCTTCATGATCTTCGTAGCCGTCTGAGTATCATACCACAGGATCCTACCTTATTTGAAGGCACAATCAGGGGCAATCTTGATCCACTTGAAGAGCACTATGATTATGAAGTTTGGCAGGTAAAATTGACATCCTTGCTCATTTAGTTAAAGAGAAAAGCGTCACATTTGTCCCCAGACTTATTTAATGGCGGCTAAAATAATCCACCCTGAGCACCATTCTACCTCGTATTAAAAGAGTCTTTGAAAGTTTTACTCGGGAGCTAAAATGACCTCATTTAAATATTTGAGTTTATTTGATTTTCTTGAATTAATGCCATTATTATCCAGGCACTGGACAAGTGTCAGCTGCGTGAGGCCATCCGCCAAAAGAAACAAAAATTAGACTCTCCAGGTACTAATCAGATGCTGCGTGCATAAAGCTGAATATTTTTGTTTAGAGAATTTACATCCATAGCACTCAATTCTTATGAATCTCATATCTCACACCTATACTTTCCTATTTATGTACATAATAGCTGTTAATAGTTGTATTTTTGATGTGATATTAAAGATTTTAGTGCTATGTGTGTAAATATAAAAGTTTAGGTGAGATATATAAATACGTAAGAATTGAGTGGTATGCATGTAAATGCCCTTATTGTTAAATTATACGTGCATTCTTTTAGAAGATCGGACAATACTTCACTGCACTATAGTGGAGATCGTTTATGCCTTTATGCAAATTTCCTTTTGATGCTAATAAGGGTTTATGGTGTTGATTCTTTCTTGCAGTTCTTGAGAATGGAGAGAATTGGAGTGTCGGGCAGCGTCAGCTCATTGCATTAGGGAGGGCCTTATTAAAACGGGCGCGGATATTGGTTCTCGACGAAGCAACGGCTTCCGTTGATACGGCGACTGATAATTTGATCCAGCAGGTCATACGACGTGAATTCAAGGATTGCACTGTCTGCACGATAGCGCATCGCATTCCAACTGTCGTTGATAGTGATTTCATTTTAGTCCTTAATGAAGGTACGTTTTTGCCTTATCCAAGTTATATAATTATGATTTCTGAGAATTTCTTTTGATGACATTAGACATTATCTTTTTGGGGCATTTACATACATACCCAAATCTTTCTTACATTCCAATTGTCATTCTTAAGTATTTACATATCTAATATCTAAACTTTAATTTTTACATTTATACTATCCAAAACTTTCATATCACGTAAAACATACCACCATTTTAATGATAACTTAGTGAAATACACCTTCTCATGCATGGGTAAGGTGGCATGTAATACTTAAAAATTGAGCGGTATGTATGTAAATCTTCTAATCTTTTTATGCTAGACTTAATTTACTTTATTTGAGACCATCCTTCTTTGAAATAATATGTATTCCACATTGTGTTTTGTGACGGGTTTCTATTTATCAAATTTTGAGTGCAACAAAAGAGCTCATGAGGGATGGCAGAATAAGTTCGCCTCAATTGGATTTACTAAATCCCAATTTACTTCATTAAACTGACGGAAAGACAACGGAACACAAGAAAATTTGATTTAACAAATAATCGGTTTTAATTCGTATTGTTTTGATGTTTAGCTGAATTTAAGTTAAATCCATGACGACAACCCATTAATAGCATGCTACCAAACATGTCTAGGTTAAACAAACCCTTCATATGCCTTAAAAAAACTTGGATTTCACTGTTTTTGATGTTCACAATTGCTTTTCAGGGAAAGTTGCGGAGTTCGACAGACCACAGAAGCTTTTGGAGGACAAGACTTCCATGTTTATGAGACTGGCCTCCGAATACTCCATCAGGTCAAGCTGCTTAGCAGATGCATGAAGCAAAAACCTCTTTATTAAATCAAAATATGACAGAAGAACTTATACTATATCAATATCTGCCATACTTGATTATAATGAGGGAGCTGCTGCTTCAAGGAAGAAAGAGTTCAAAAGCTTTCTTTTCGGATTAATATAATAGGAGGGCAACAAATTAGGTCACAGGAATTAAATTTGATTTGTAAAGCATTGAGCTTCTCTTTTAGTTTTTTTAGTTAGAGTCGGTTGTCATTGATAGAGTCTGTATTTAGAAGATGTCATTGATAGAGTCTGTATATAGATGTCATTGATAGAGTCTGTTTTAGAAGATGTCATTGATAGAGTCTGTATTAGAAGATGTCTTGGTTGAAGTTAGATTCAGAGAAAAAGCAGTTTTAGCGTTTCCGTCTGTCTATTATTTCATCTCCCTCAATGGTGCTAGTTATATTGAAATGAGTATGAACACTGCTCATTCATCTCATTCATCTCAATTCTTATGTATTTAGATATCACTCGCGTTAGCGTAAGCCATTGCAAAACTGCTCCCAACTTCTGGTGGCAATCTTTCTCTCCACATCACCTCGTAATCTCGAACAATTCAGGTGTTTGATATCTCAATGCATAAGAATTGAGTGGTTCGTATGTAAATCTTTCTATTGAAATCACATGTATTTGTAAATCTACTATTAGGGCTATCGAAGCGGCTCGTTCGTGTTTGAATCGCTAAGTAGTTTGTATTCAATTCATTTCCTATGTAAATGAGTCGAATATGAATATATATATATATATATATAATATATATATTGCATTTGATAAACAAACAAGTCGAACACGAGTAAAGATTTATTTGTTTGTGTTCGACTCGTTTTGACTTGAAATAATTTAATTATAATATATATACAATGCTACAAAAATCCATGATCGATTAAAATTATTAATTGAAAAATAGAATAGAAATATATTAGATCCTATTTAATTGAATATATTAATAACATTTAAATCTCATTCTTTTCTTTAGCATCCTACGATTGTATGGTTAGGGATATCAAAACGGGATGTTCATAAACAACTAGTGTTCAGCTTGTTAAGCAAACGAACCGAACACGAATAATTTTTTTGCACTCGATATATTAACGAGTCGAATAAAATCTACGATATTTTATAACAAGCAGGACGAAACACGAGCCGAACCTGCCGATGTATTACTTTTATGGGTCATTTACATGCATTCCATCCTTATTTATTTACGTATCTAAAACTTGAACTTTTATATTTATTTTCTTAAAAGATATTACTATTATTTTTTAAAAATAATGTACATTTTCATGCATGATTTTATTACACGGACATATTATAGATCTACATACAAAAGCTTTAGTGTTAGACACTTAAATATATAAAAATTTTATGTTATATATGTAAATTATCCTTTTGTTTCTTTTTTACTTATATTAAATCTTAGTGTTCGTCAAATCACAATATATACATAAAAATTGTATTTTCGTTTAAATGAGTTCATGTTTGTGATATAGTCACTAGCTGCTAAGGATTGAATGGATCGAGTTTGGATTGAAATTGACTCGTGAATTATTATGTTCTATTTTGAGTCAGCTCGGCCCGAAATTGAATAGAGCTTACTTTGACTCGAAATCGAAACACACTAGCTCAAATTTGAGTTATTTAGATTCATTCCATCTTCGAATCAGCTCAATCTAGCTCAAAATCAAAACAAAATAGCTTCAATTGAGCTATTTAGATCTCTTTCGGCTCGGAATCAACTCATAGCTTGTTATATTTGATTTTATTTAGTAGTGCATATAATATTAATGAATAAAAAAAATTCAAAACGATCTCGAATCAGTTCAAGCGGATCTGTGTATGACTCGAAATCGACTTAAAAAAAATTTTGATCCAAAATTTAGGCTCATAACTCGGCTCGTTTATTTCAATCCGATCTATATCAGAACTAAAATAATTAACAATGAGTCACTATTTATTACTGGTAGAGTTGTTGGCACGGAATGTCAAATCTTCTCTACTTTTTTCAATCAGACAATTACACGCAAAATGATCAAAAGAGGCGGCTTCGGGCTTGTAGAATATGGGTAACCATGCTTTCTCTGTTTGCAACAGATCTGAAAGGGAAGGGCTGCGGGACATCCCAAAAAAGAAAAAGAAGAGATTTTTTTAAGTTAAAAGTGCACCGGTATGAATATAGCCACGAGCCCGCTCTGGTTGGGGAGCGCTATTGCATAAGGAGAGCGCACGCAGAGCTACGTACGCTCTCCGACCAGAGTTGTACATCAACCCAAGCAGCCTGCATGCGCTCTCCGATCACAGCCGCATATCAACCCAAGTCTATATGTCATACGGTTGATATGCGGCTGTGATCGGAGAGCGCATGCAGCTCTGCGTGCACTCTTCGCACGCAATACTTTTTCTTGGTTGGGAGCGGGTGCGAATTAAATAGATTTTTCAATATGTATTAAATTTAAAACAACAGTGTTAGACGGGCTTCTCTTTCTATTAAATAGAATATTTTTAATTTGGATTGTATATATATATATTAAAAAAAAGGGTTCTTTACATGTCTAATTCCTATGCATTAATATATCAATTAGCTGAACTTTAACTTTTATGTACTTATCAGCCAATTCCTATGTTTTGACATAGATTGGATGGTCGTAGGCAAAAATGAAAATTTAGGTGGTTGATATGGTAATATATAGGAATTGGGTGGTGGATATGTAAATCTCCCAAAAAAATACTCCAACCTATAGGGATGGACAAAAAATAAACCCTGGCTCAAGTTGTGTTTTAACCAAAAAGAAAATTCTCACACTTTTCTTATGTGATTTTCTTCAAGACAAATGAAAAAAACTTTTATAGAAATTTATTTTTGAGAAAATGATGGTCACACCCAACTTTAATTAAAGGGAACAAAAATAAAAAAATGAAGTTCATCAAAACACCGACAAGTCAAATACAGACAAAGTATTAAACATTCAAAACAATCCACTAGAATGGATACAAAATTTGAAGTTCTGGTATAATACTCAGTCGACAGTAAATGGAGTAAATCAAGAAGAAGACAACATCAATACTATTTTTGTGAAGACAACAAAATACCTCATCTCTAAAACTAGGAATAATAGTAGCAAATTTCTATGGAAACTATATAAAACTGAACACCAAGCACAAATCACCATATTGAATAACATACACCAATACAAAATCAATTCCAGCTCCAAGTGAAGATTATAGTCACCAGAGTAGCATAAGAAGAAGTCCAAAAAAGGGTCGGGAGATGAACATAACAAATTATTAGAGCATAGATAAGGAAAAAGTCAAGAGAAAACAAGAGCTTGGAATTACCTACCCACAAAATATTAGAATTTTATCCATGCACTATAAATATCTTAAATCAAAGTTCCAAAATAGTCAATAGTATGATTAAACTTTAATGTGCGATCTGAATTCATCATAGCTCAATCAAAAACCAATATATAAAAAAATAAATAAATAATATCAAGAGCATATATGTTCTCATGTACAATGATCAAGAGAAATATATGCAATTCTACATTTTAGGAAAAGAAATATATCATTTCTAATATGTTAAGAGCAGGTAGAAAGCTTAAAACCTAAGATATAAATAACAATAAAGAATAGAATCAGATATCGACAGAATCAGGTGATTCACAACACTCCATTTTCAAGTGTAATACTCAACTACCAGAGAATAGAACAGACCAAGAAATAAAAAATCCATCATCATTAATAACTAAACATCAACCATAATCTGCAAAAGAAAAATAAGTTAATCTCGATGACCAGCTCCAAAAAATATAGAAAGCAGAGACAAAACAACAAACAATGAAATATATTTCATATAAAAAATCCACCAATATAAAATCAATTCCAGCTCCATAAGAAAGCAATTATCATGAGAAAAGCATAAGAATAAGACCAAGAGAGGATTAGAACATAAACATAACATACAAAAACATTTTAGTTCATCAATTCACTCATAATAACTTAGATCAAATATTCAAAAATTAAATAGTATGATTAATTTTAATGTACTGTAAGAATTCACTTTAGGTCAACAAAAAAAGTTAAACTACAAAAAGAAATAAAATTAAGATGAAGTCTATTTTTATTTCACAGAAGAACTAGAAAGTACAATAAATTTCATCCAGTTATAAAGACAACCTATGAAAATCCAGTAAAAGATACTAGCACAAAAAAATATAGGAGGGAGAGTAGAAACATTCAACTTTAAATTTTATAAAAATAATTCACATTGAGAGGGATTTCATTCTTAAATTTAAGTTTTATGTTTTTTTCTCTTTAACTAACTAAGAAATATTATGAACAAGAATCTCAGATGGATGATGCTTGACATGTTGTGAATCAAGCATCAACTGTGCAATTGCACATATTTCTCAAGTAATATGCAGATTTGAGTTTGTAAATTGATTTTATAAGAAAATTTTTAAAGCTTCTAATTGGTTAAAGTGATAGTTTACTAAATCCTAAGTCTAGTCCACTTTTTTATTTTCTAAAGTGTCTAATTCCTAATAACGAAAACCTAACTATGGATTTTGGAGTATTTCCGATTAGATGAAAATATCATACTTCTGTTAATTAGATTGTGTGAATCCTCAATATTCCGCTGATGAGTTCCACATATTATATTTGACAAGCAAAGAAAAATTCTCCTTAGCCTCTATTGAGGTCATAAGAAGCAATGAATACTCATATTACAGTTAAGGGAGTTCAACCATATAAAGTTTATTAGGAAGCTCTTAATCTCCTATTTATTTTGCAATATACTGCAGGGAATATATGTATTCCACTAGGTTACTTGTTACGTTACTCGTTCTTCTAGTCAACAATTAGATGTTCTAAATCAAAAGTCATATCAACTTTCTAAATGACCAATGTATAAGTAAATTAAATTTAAAAATTTAACACACCAATATTTATCAAATTCTCAAATCGTATAGGAAAATATCATGAAGAATAAATAATTTATCACAAGCCCAAAAATATTACAATGAAAACACTTAGCTACTATACATGATGTAGAAAAATATCAAAATTCCATTGAATACATAAAACCAAATGTACATAAGTGAAGAAAACACAAAGCATATTTGCTTCTTCAGTGATCTTCCCCTTAAAATGAATGCAGTCCATGGTTTTGATCTCCCACATACAAGCAATATAATATCTCATTAATCTCACCGCTCACTTACAATACACACTCTCTCACAGTCCATAAACAACAGATATGAGAAAATATGAGAGGAATATTAATTTTCTATTCTAAGTGTCATCCTTCTCCTTACAAATTGGCATCTCTCCCATTTCAAGTAGCATCTCCCCCTTCATCTATCACAATTCCCACTCATTTACACACAAAAC